CCCCCCTCCCCTTTTGGTTGTGAGCTGCCCTGAGTCCCCCCAGGGAAAACGGCGGCATACAAATAAACTTCAAATCAAAATCAAATCAAAATACTTCTTTTGTCCAGTTTCTGTTTTTGGGAGATAGTCCTCTCAAGAGCAAGGTAGAGAGTTCCTGTGACGATGTGATTTCTATTCTTTTGGGGACTATCCCTTTAAGAGCAAGGCAAAGCAAGGCAGGGATTTTTCCTATTGGCTATCTGAGTTTTCTCAATGATTTTCTTCCAGCAAGTGCTGGGCTGGTTTGTTGATTCAGCTTTGTTACATTTTTACCAGGTGTGAAGTGCTTTTGGCTGAATGCCCAGACATCTAGTTAAGCTGATTAAGTTTCCCTGGCAGCCTGGGGAAAGAAAAAAGTGGCAAAAAGTGTCATTTTATTATATTATTGTGTTTGCTTGCTTTTCTGGTGTTATGGGAATAAAAATGAATACCTGGTAGGCAGATTTTTTCCCCTATTTTCCTCCCCAAAACTAAGGTGTGTCTTATATTCAGGTGTGTCTTATACTCCCCAAAATACGATATTTTCCCTCACTTCATTTCCAGTGTTATCCCTGCTTATCTTTCTTCTTTTTCCAGAGGAACCACTGTTTCATTTTTCTTGTCGCTGCTGGAAGGAGGGAGAAGAGTGCTGATATGTGACCGTGAATTGTGAATTTATGCAGTTAGTTTGGATATACGAACCTATCAGTTAGCTTGTTTTTTGGCTGACAATTTTCATTGTAAGTAAGCCATTTGTGTATCAAGTTTAGTTGAAATTGCTCAAGGTGTTCCAGAGTTATGCTGGAACACACACACACAAACACATGCACGCACACTTTTATATATATAGATTTACTCAAAAATCTTCAGAAGAAAATGCAACAGCCACTAACTTACTGACTCAGCAGTAAACAGTGTCCCATTTAAAGATTACACTACTAAATTATTCAGGGTAGAAAAAGCTAAGAGAGATTGTGAGAAGTTCCAGAAGGATCTCTTTCAACTGGCTAGTCAGTGTAAATGTGGGTCTCATTTAGTAAGAGCTAAGTATGGGGGTGGGGAACAACCCCCATATATATGCTGCTCTTGATATATGCTGCTAAACTGTAAGCTGTCTATAAAGAGGAGGAAAATTCCGGGGTTGACGTGTAAAGCACAATGCAGATGTGAACTCTATATAATAAGCTCTGAAAGGCAAATATCAGTTTTGGAATCATTAGGAAAGTTATTAAAACAAAACAGGCCTCATTATTAATAAATTCCCCTTTACTTAACACTAAGCTACACTAAAGGTGGCTCAGTGGCTGAGCTTGTCAATCAGAAAGGTCGGCGGTTTGAATTCCTAACACCACATAATGGAGTGAGCTCCCGTTACTTGTCCCAGCTTCTGCCCAGTTGCCTTTTGAAAAAGCACCTTTAGGACAACCATGACCTGGATGACCGAGAATCTCCATAGCCAGCTGGAGCTGTGGACTGGCTAAAAAGGCAAGGGATGGGGAATGGGGATGAAATAGAAAATGGAAATAGAATACATGGAAGGGACCTTGAAGGTCTTCTAGTCCAACCCTCTGCTTAGGCAGGAAACCCTACATCATTTCAGACAAATGGTTATCCAACATCTTGAAAACTTCCAATGTTGGAGCATTCACAACTTCTGAAGGCAAGTTGTTCCACTGATTAATTGTTCTAACCGTCAGGAAATTTCTCCTTAGTTCTAAGTTGCTTCTCTCCTTGATTAGTTTCCACCCATTGCTTCTTGTTCTACCTCAGGTGCTTTGGAGAATACCTTGCCTCCCTCTTCTTTGTGGCAGCCCCCATGGACTACAATCCAGTCTTTTTCTGAGTGCAAACTGATTTAACATGCTAACCGAAATAGGCTGCTCAGCTCTTTTAAAACATGAATTAGATAGGCATTTTCTGAAATTGAGCCAAGCCTAAAGCAAACCACGGAGATTGGACCACCCTTAGTCTGAGATGGTACTACATGGGGCTTCCAGCCTGAGCAGGGGGTTGGACTAGATGACCTCCAAGGTCCCTTCCAACTCTGTTACTCTGTTCTGTTATCGGGTTGGTGCAAGCAAGCAAGCATTAAACGGCGATCTCCTCCCAACCCAGGACAGCCTGCACCAAACAGCCCGGAGGACGCCGCGCCAACACCATCAAGGAAAACCCCAGGCCCTAGCGCGTCCCTTCTAGGAAGCAGCAACTCTCTCCCTTTAACCCTTCCTTGGATGGCCGGGGGTGGCGGGGAGGCTGGCCGGCGACTTGCGAGACCGCTGAGTCTTCCTCGCTCTCCAGCTCCGGAGCGCGGATCCTCCTGCTACGCGGCTGGCTTTGGAGTGCGGAGTGCCGGATTGAGAGGGGTAAGCCTGGAGTTTGCCCTCCTTTCCTTTTCCCTCTGGATGTCAGGCGAAGCAGCTTTTCTTTTGCAAACCCGCCTTTGCAAATGGTTGGAGGGTTGCAGCCTTAGAGCAAGGGGGGTGCTTTTGTCCTGGAAAAGCCGGGCAGTAAGGGCGGGGAGGAGACTGGGGGGGCAGGGAGATCTAGGGGGGTGGGAGCAAAGGCAGAGCCTAGTTTGGTCTAGCTCCGCTCGACTGCTCCCCTGCATTGCCTCCGATCTGCGAATGAAGCAGAACAGAATAACAGGCTTGGAAGGGACCTTGGAGGTCTTCCAGTCCAGCCCCCTGCTCAGGCAGGAAGCCCTATGGCACCCTTTCAGACAAATGGTGAGAAGCATCTTGGGAGTCTTAGTGGACAACCAGGTAAATATGAGCCAGCAGTGCGCAGCGGCAGCCAAAAAAGCCATTGCAATCCTCAGTTGCATTAACAGAGGGATACAATCAAGATCAAGTGAGGTATTAATTCCACTCTATAAAGCCCTAATAAGACCACTGCATCCAGTTTTGTTCACCACACTATGAAAAAGATGTTGAGACTCTGGAAAGAGTGCAGAGAAGAGCAACCAGGTGATTAGGGTACTGCAGACTGAAACGTGAAGAACGGTTACAGGAACTGGGCATGGCTAGTCTAGTGAAGAGAAGGACCAGGAGAGACATGATACCAGTGTTCCAATATTTGAGGGGCTGCCACAGAGCACAAAGCACCCAAAAGCCAGACAAGGTATAATGGATGGAAACTGACCAAGGAGAGATTTAACCTAGAAATAAGGAGAAACTCTCTGACAGTGAGAACAATCAACCAATGGAACAGCTTGCCCTCAGAAATTGTGGGAGCTTCATCACTGGAGGCTTTCAAGAAGAGATTGGACTGCCGTTTGTCAGAAATGATGTAGGGTCTCCTGCTTGAGCAGAGGCAAGGGGGTTGGACTAGATGACCTATAAGGTCCCTTCCAACTTTCTTTATCTGTAAATGTCCCAAAGTGCTTTTTCAGGAGGCAACTGGATTTTCTTGTTTTTTTCTTTGAAGATGTTTGGCTTCTCCTCCAAGAAGCTTCTTCAGCTCTAACAGGATGGAGGGGAATGGAAGGATTTCTATTCCTTGCAGACAGCTGGTCATTTGCATCCTGTTAGAGAGTCACTGAGGCCACTTGAAGGTTTATCTGTGTCCTCAGTGTCACCTGAGTAATGCTGAGTAGCAATAGCAATAGCAATAGCAGTAGACTTATATACCGCTTCATAGGCCTTTCAGGCCTCTCTAAGCGGTTTACAGAGAGTCAGCATATTGCCCCCAACAATCTGGGTCCTCATTTTACCCACCTCGGAAGGATGGAAGGCTGAGTCAACCCTGAGCCGGTGAGATTTGAACCGCTGACCTGCTGATCTAGCAGTAGCCTGCAGTGCTGCATTTAACCACTGCGCCACCTTGAACGACCCTCAAAAAGGATGCAAATGCCAGCTGTCTGTAAGGAATAGAAATCCTTCCATTCCCCACCATCCTGTTAGAGCTGAAGAAGCTTCTTGGATAAGAAGCGATACATCTTCAAAGAAAAAACAAGAAAATCCAGGTGCCTCCTGAAAAAACACCTTTGGGACAACTATGACCTGGATGACTGAGAATCACTACAGACTTTCAGACAAATGGTCATCCAATCTCTGTGTTGGAGGATGTCTATGGAGCTTTTCAGTCCTCCAGGTCATGGTTGTCTCAAAGGTGCTTTTCAAAAGGCAACTGGACTTTCTGGGTTTTCTTTGAAGACATTTTGCTTCTCATCCAACAGCTGAAAGAAACTTCTTGGATGAGAAGCAAAACGTCTTCAAAGAAAACCCAAAAAGTCCAGTTGCCTCTTCCAAAAGCACCTTTGGGACTTCCAATGTGTTGGAGCCATCACTTGACACTTTTAAGAAGAGACTGGACAGCCACTTGTCCAGAATGATATAGGGCCATGATGGCGAACCTATGGCATGTGTGTCACAGGTGGCAATGAGAGCCATTTGTTAGGGCACACGAGGCGTTGCCCTGTCAGATCCAGCGTGCATGGACGCACTGGCCAGCTGACTTCGGCCTTCTTTTTCGGCCGTTTTTCACCCTCTGGAGACTTCCATGAAGCCTCCAGAGGGCAAAAAACAACCCAACGTGCAAAATTTAAAAAACCCAATGAGGAAGTTCGAGAACAGACTTCTGATTTGTGCATTGGGTCGTTTTTCGTGCTTCAGAGGGCCTCCGGAGGTGGGGGGGCGGAGGGAGCTGTTTTTGCCCTCTCCAGGCTCCTAGAAAACCTCTGGAGCACAGGAAGGGAGAAAAATGGGTCCATTGTGTGCCAAAAGTGGGGGGAGGGAGTTGGTCACACCCACATGTGTGCAGGGGAGTCGTGCATGCAGCATTATGGGTGTAGGCACCCCTGGGCACAATTCCCCTGCGCTTCCCCCGCTTTTGGCACGCGATGGGAAAAAGGTTAGCCATCACTGATACAGGGTCTTGTAGGCCTCCCTGCAGCCTCCTGGGACCAAAAATGAACTGCGTGGGGGATGTGCCATAACCCCCTCCCCCGTGTGCCCCATTTTGGGCCTAGTAGGCCTCCATGCAGCCTTCTGGGAATGCTAATAAATGCTCTTATGTTATTCAACATAAGAAGATTGGAAATGACAGAAAATATTTGTAGCTCAGACGGTAGATATTGGTGATGGTTTGTTCTCCGAGCTTGCTGTTTAGCCTTCAAACGTTTCATTACTAGGCTAGGTAACCTCCTCAGTAGGACTTTAGTTAAGTGTCTTCAGTTCTTCACTGATTTTATAAAAGCGATTTTATAAAATGTCACTAGGCTATGGGATATCTTCATGGGGACTTTGGTTGAAGCATCTTGTTTCAGTTCTTTTTTTATAAAAGCGGTGAAGAACTGAAACGAGACGCTTCAGCCAAAGCCCCTGTGAGGATTTTACCTAGCATGGTGATGAAACGTTCAAAGGCTAAACAGTAAGCTCAGAGAACAAACCACCACCAACATAAGAAGATTGTCATTGTTGTGGTCCGCCTGCAGCCAGCAGAACTGGCAGCAGAGTCGGAAAGTGAGGAAGTTAGGGAGGGGCATGGGCCAGTCCTGGAGACTGGGGAAGGCCCGGACGAGAGCTCTGCGTAGGAGGAAGAGATGGGGCTGAGGCCATCTGGCAGTGATCAGGTGCCTATGGAGCTAGATAGCAGTGAGGCAGAGGAACAGCTAGAGCCTATTCCCAGTGTGTGCATGTGCAGAGCTGCCAGAAGAAAAGAACAACTCAGAAATTTGGGTAGACTTGGGAGTAAAGTCACAGGTAGAAAGTAATTGGCCACTCCCATATGAAATAAAAGAGGAACGAAAGGGGAGTGGGCTTTTGTTCGTTCAGTCATTCGATTCGTTTCAGGAGTGTGAAGATCTGTCTCTGAATCTGAGACTCTGTGCCCAGTCTTTCCTTGCACAGCACTTCATTTGGAAAATATTTACATGGCAGCTTTCCAAGATAGATAAGGTCTGTGGTGATAAATGTTCCTTTGAAAGACTGTTTGCCAGGCCTTTGCTGAATGTGAATGAGAGGAATTCATATTTGTTTAACAAAAGTTTTGTCCAGACCAGGATTCAGCCTCATGCTTTTTGGGGAAGCCTAGGTCAGAACAGTTATGTGTAAAACAATGAAGTGTGTTTCTCATTTTAAAAAACTTCCAATTGCTGTAGGGCGATTAACAAGAAAAGTTGTGAAGGATTTCTGAGCAGCGTTGTCCATGCCTTTTTTAAAATGGGTTTTGTTTCCTTTTCCCCTTAGCTCGGTTGCTGAAAAGACCTGGTTGTGTGTAAGGTTTCCAGTTTTCCAGGAAGAACAATTCCTTGTCTCTCAAGATGGCGCATGGGAGTTCTTCCTGCCATCCTGCTCCTATCAGTGAAAAATGCTTTGCAGATCAGGAAAGTCCTTTGAATTTGACCAGAACAGCATTTAAGCACAGAAGGAAAACAGACACACAACAACACATAGCAAGGAAAGGAGAAGGAAAAGACCCCGGGGTTGTACTGAACAAGACTTCTGGGAAATTCATGGGAAAAAACAATCAATGCATCCTGGAAGGGAAACCTTCCAATGGGGTTCTACAAACTTACTTTTTCAAGGAATTCTGCTACCAAGAGACTGATGGGCCTCGGGAACTTTGCAGCAGACTCCACCATATTTACTGTCAGTGGCTAAAGTTAGAAAAGCACACAAAGGCTCAGATATTGGATCTTCTGGTCCTAGAGCAGTTCCTGGCTGTCCTTCCTCCAGAGATGACCAGCTGGGTCCAGGAGTGTGGAGCAGAAACCTGTTCCCAGGCAGTGGCCCTGGCTGAAGGCTTTCTTCTGAGCCAAGCAGAGGGGAAGAAGCTGAAGGTGAGACAGGATCATTCAAAAAGAAGTAATTGTGGGAAATAATGTACTCAATTTTTAAATGCTTCCCTTCTACAACGAATATTATGAGGAGGAGATTTAATTTCCACTTTAGATATTTTATTGTGTTGAATCTTTCTGAGGATAGGATGGGACGGAACGGAATAGAATAGAATAGAATAAATTCCTCACTTTTTATTGTTTTAGGCTCAGTTAAGTTAAATTAAATTTACTTTATTGTCATTGCACCTCGTACAATGAAATTACAAAGCCCTTCATTGAAATGGCCATTGAAAACTGTGTTAAATATCCTCCTCAGGAGCTGGTCTTTGGTGGGATCTCCCAGGAGAAATCAATTCTGGACCCATCTTCAGGTAAAGAAAATGTCAGGGTTCCGACCAATGCCCGAATTAAATCATGAGCCTCGAGCCAAGCTTCAAAAGAAATCCAGTTATTTATTAGAAGTTTAATGTCAGCATGTTCCAAGTGAAGCCAACTCTGAATTCACTTAATTTACATCCTGGCGCTGTTTCCTCCCTTCCCCCAAGGTGTGTCATTGGTCAAATTCTCCAAAGAAGCAATTTTGTGCGTTGTAGAGATCACTACCCTCTGGCCACTGTGGGTAACCGCAGAGATGGCCTTAACAGAGAGATAGTTGGGATGTGCTTTTGTTTTGACTGAAGTGCGATTCCTTCACTGCAGCTGCAGTTCATTTTCCCATTCCTCTTGCCTATGGCAACTCGAGAGCAGGCCAGGGATGTTTTGCAAGTTGATAGAAAGATTCTTCTGATACGACAACCTGAAGAGTCTGTACTATCTGAGCTATTCATGAGCTTGTTTTTCAAGAATACAGATAGTCTTCGACTTATAACAATTCATTTAGCAACCGTTGGAAGTTACATCACTGAAAAAAGTGACTTATGACTGTTTTTCACATTTACGACCATTGCAGCATCCCCATGGTCACATGAACAAAATTTGGATGCTTGGCAACTGACTCATATTTATGACAGTCGCAGTGTCCCCAGGGTCATGTGATCCTGTTTTGCGACCATCTATCAAGCAAATTCAATGACCCAGATTCACTTTACAACCTTGTTACTGACTGAACAACTGCAGCAATTCACTTAACAGCCATGGCAAGAAAGATCATGAAACGGGGGACGAGTTCATTTAACAAATGTCTCACCAAGGTGGCGCAGTGGTTAAATGCAGCACTGCAGGCTGACTGCTAGATCAGCAGTTCAGCGGTTCAAATCTCACCGGCTCAGGGTTGACTCAGCCTTCCATCCTTCCGAGGTGGGTAAAATGAGGACCCGGATTGTTGTTGGGGGCAATATGCTGACTCTGTAAACCGCTTAGAGAAGCCTGAAAGGCCTATGAAGCGGTATATAAGTCTATTGTTATTATTATTATTATTATTA